GTAAATCTATTCCAAATCAAACTTTTCTATACTTTTTCCTTATATATCCTAGCTTTCTGAATCCGTAATGTACAAGTTTTTACCAATTTACATATCTATTCCTTGCCGATTATTTCTATACCTATTCCTTATTTACTTTAATATTTTTTAGTAAAATAATTTATTCTGAAAAAAATATATAAGAGCAAAAACTTAATATGCGCACTTTTTCCGCATACAAAGAGCTTATAAGAAACTTATAATTAGGTTTGTTTTTCTGCTAAATGCATTTCATTGATAGCTCCGACGTTAAATGCGCTGCCATCAGTGTTGTTTTGTAAGGGTTAAAGACCTCCTCTTAGCGTAATAAATTTTATTGACGTTAGTTTGTGGCAAAATAAATCTTTATGTGTCAAGTTTCCTTTTGCATTTATTTTAGATTTTTTTTATTATGTTGCATATAAATGCATAAAATTATATAAAACTGGTACTGATATATCATTTTTATGGATAAGAGATTGTATTTATTACAATAGTAATAAATAAATAGTTTTTGTCTTTATTAGAATATATCCCATAAAAATATATTCCATATATCCTCAATAGATACGGTTTTAAAAAAAAATTGAAATCAAATCTTATTTATATGACTATCCTTTTGAAAGATCTAAGAAGCAGATGACATAATTTTAGCAATCAGAAATTATTGAGAGAGAGGCAAATCTAAAGTTGAAGTTTTCAAATTTTCCACTAGGAAGTGATAATATGTTTCGTATTTTTTCAATCTTGTCAATTTTTTAAAATATAATAACATAACTACAAAAAATCAAAACAAAACAGCTTGAGCAAAAAAAAACTTGTAATTATTAGAAAAGTTTACTTATATTACATACGATCCTGAATAAAATGTTATATAAGTGAATTTTTTTATATTTTAAAAACAATATATATAAACAAATAACATAATTGTTTATATAAACATTTTTTATATAGAGATAGTTAAGCGCAACAAAAATGAAAAAAAAAAGTTTATATTAAAATTAAAAAATGATTTATATGTTTCTTTGCAAAAACCAACGCACTATAATAAAATTTTCAAGTGCTATAATAAAATTTTGAACTACAATTACTATATTCACTCTAATAAAATTTTTCACTTCAATAAAATTTTTAGGCACTGAACTGCAATTACTTTTAATTTTTTTGGTTTAGTGGTTTTTGTTAATTGCTTTTAAATTTTGCATCAAATTATCTCATTTCAACATGTTCGTTGTATCCATACTGCAGCCGTTTTTCAAAACGTCTGAAGGTAAAAAATATCGTTTTTGACAAAATAAGCTACTTTATATGTCTACAAACGTTATTGAATACATATTTTAAAAGAGTTCTGAAAAAATTCATAAAAATTATTTGTTTTAAAAAACGTTTTACAAAGAGTTTATATATACATTGTTTGTGCTTAGCCTAACAATTATTAAATATCTCTATTTAATTTTTTTCGAAATATGTAATAAGCATATTAAGACGTTTTAAAAAATAGCTGCACTATGTATTTATTGTTAAAAAATAAATGTAGCAAAAAAAACTATTTAAAAAAATTTAAGTTTTAGACAACTTTTTTTTCAGACCATCCACAGCTTATTAGGACTAATTACCTGAGCACTTTATTAACATAAGTATCTCAACCATGTCACATACGCAACAATTTTTTTCTCCCGGTGTTTTAATGTTTTTAAAAATATTATCTTTTTTTAAATCTTTTCATTCGTTTAAGTATATAATATCATTACATATGTTTTTATAAACACTCTATAAAACTTCAAAAGTATTTTGTATTTTAATAGTCAAAAAAAAATAAAAATAAAAAGTTTTCAGTGGTAGGACTCAAACCAGGGTTTTCTTGTTCAGAAGCTCAGCGCGCTATCCAGATGGCCACGCTGGCACGTTGTTAAACGAAAATTTCTAAAACATCGTAATGACGTTTTTAACAGAAAGACATGCTGTATATTAATGTTAAGGAGAGTTTGACTCAATGGAATTTTTAAGTGAAATCAAACTATAAAACTTGATAAATATTTATTATGTTTTAACACTATAATTGAAGTTTACGTATGTTAGACATTTGCATAAACATTCGTTTACGTTTTCTTATAAAACAAAGTGCTGCAACTTTTACTCACCACTACCTCAATTGCAATGGCTGCCAAGGGTTCTGTGTCAAACTCGCTCGAATGAGCACTACTACTAAAAGGATTAAGTTCGGCAATAATATATAAGGATGCTATTACCCCCTGCTGATTTTTCAATAAAAACAAATTTTTGTATGCTTAAATTTGAATTTTTGACCATAATTTTAAATATTGAATTTATGTAAAATAAAATTTTTATAAAAAAAAAATATTTTTATACTTTAAAAAAATTATCCATTGAATCAGAAAAAGTGTAAATCACCTCCTCATCCTTTTTTTACATTCCTGTTGTATAAAGTTAGTAAAATTGCAGAAAAAACCCCCTAATATTTTCAATTAAACAAAATTATTTGATTAAAGATATTCAAATTCATTTTTCAGCAAAAAAAAATTTCTTTTGTAGTTCTTGATAAAGAGATCATGGTGACAAGACATGAAATTCATGAATCATTTAAAAAAATTGATCTTGTGACGCTATAAAGGTAGAAAATGATAAAAAACTATTTCTAAAATTGTAAATGTTAAGCCTAATACTGTAGGAAACATTAAAAAATATAAAAAAATGTGTACCATCAAAAATTTGCTAAGAAAAGAGCGACTGCCATATACATTGGTAGAGAAATTATTCAGAAAGTTAAACAAGATTGAGGACTATCTGCACCAAAGCTAGCAAAAGATTTACAAAAAGATCATAGTATAACTGTAAATCCTCAAACTGTTAGCAATAAAAAAAAACATTCTTGAGTAAAAGAATCAAAAGAAACAATTGGCTTGAGCCTTTGAGGTTTTGAGGCTTTGAAAACATTCTAATTGGACTCTCGATCAATGGCGAAGAGTTTTATGGTCAGATGAAACAAAAATATGTTTGTTTAGTTGTGATGTTATTGAACGCAAATGGAGAATATATGGTAAATGCTTAAATCTTAAATGTATGAGACCAACTGTCAAACATGAAGGAGGCACCATTAAGCTTTATTATCATGTTTCAATATTCTATATACTCCAAACTTATTTTTTTCTATTTATAATATAACAAATGATGGTTTGAGGTTCTTTTGCATGGAGTGGTGTTTGCAAACTCGAATTCACTGAGATCAAGTGTTAGAAGTGCTGGCTTATCTTGTAATTTTTCAACAGGATGAAGATCCAAAACACATAAAATACACAGTTACTCAGTAGTTCAAAAAATAAAAAAACAGTATTAAGATGTTAGATTTTCACCTCAGTAACCAGATCTAAATCTGATTGAAAATTTTCTTTTTAAAATAAAAGCTGAAAAAAAACCATCCAGTTTGGCAATTAAAGCCAATCCTCATTGAGAAGTCGGAAAAATTGGACATAGCTATGGCAATAAACTTTTGCCATTGCCATGTCAAAAGCGTACAAATTGACTATTAACTTTATATTAGCAAAATAACTATTTTAGGGGTATATAATATGGTTAAGCAATAAAAAGCGCACAAAACCAAACTTAAATCTTTCTATCGACATCAGAAACACACAGCTCGCACAATTAATTATACACTTTTTCTGATTCAGTAGATAATTTTTGTTTTAAGTATAAAAATATGAACTTCTTGTTATTAAAATGTAATTTGGTATAAATTCGGTATAAAGAAAAAATTGGGTTTAAAAATTTAAATTTAAGCATACAAAAATTTGTTTTAATTGAAAAATCATCGGCAGGGTAATAGACATTGTTGACAGACTTTGTATGTATATATATATATATATATATATATATATATATATATATATATATATATATATATATATATATATATATATATATATATATATATATATATATATATATATATACATTATATTACAATTGGTAAAGAAGGATTATTGAATCCTTCTTTACCAATTGTAATATAAGTCTCTTCACTTTTTTTCATATCCTGTAACCTCAGGGGTTCCTCAAGGGCTATACTTGACCATGCTTGACTCTTTTTAATTCACATTAACAATCTTCCATAAATTCTCACATCTAATATTAGGTTGTTTGCTGATGATACTATGATTTATTCTTGTCTTAATAAGAACCAACATTCAGGGTGTTGGATGGAGCATTTGAGAGGATCTTGAAGAGGATCTCACTTCTGCTACAGCATAGGGGTCACAGTGACTGGGGACAATTTTTTTCAACTAATCATTTTTGCCATAATCTAGATCTTCCTATATTTATGAACAGTAATGTACTTGATGAGTCATCTACCCTTCATCTTCTGGGATTAACTCTTACTTTCGATCATATTAATCATATTAAATCCATTCCAAAATTAGCATCTGCTAAAGTTGCCCCTTTTTGTGCTCGCCGATTTCTTACTCAGAATTCTATTGTTTATCTCTATAAATCTTAAATACGTCCTTATATGGAATACTGTTGCCATATCTGGGGCGGATTTTCCAATGATGTCCTTTTTTTTTTAGACAAGGTGCAAAATTGCATTGTAAACATAGTTGGACCTGCTCTTGTAGCCAACCTCCAACCATTATCACATTGTCATAATGTTGCTTCTCTTTCTCTTTTCTATAAATACTATAATTGCTTAAATATCCAATTTATTAACTTTGGAAAATGTAAAATACTAACTTTGGAAAATGTAAAAGATTTTTTTTTATTATTATTAGATCATTTTTCTAATATTTTCAAATATAAATGAAATTTGAGAGTTAAATGAAGAAGTTTTTAATTTTAAAGCTCTTTTTTTTTTAATTTAAGCTTATGTATGATTTCTATCTTTTAACAAATTTTTTTATTAGATAAAAATGAAATTGGTTTCCAATAATTCCAAATCAATTTCGTTTGCAATTTCATTTTAATAGGTTGATATTTCGCCCTGCTCAACAATTGGATGTCCAAAGTTAACTAATTTTCCTTCTGGCAAGTGTCAGATATGTGAAATGAAAGCAAATCAATCAGGCACATTTGATTCACAAAAGTGTTTAACAAGTGGTTGCAAATTTTATGGAAACCTAAACTTCAAAGGTTTATGTTCAGAATGTTTCATGAAAATGACTATGAGTGAAATATAGGTAAAAACTTCAAGTTATATATATGTATATATAAATATATTAATAAATATAAAATTTCTATAATAATAAAAAAATTATAAGTGTTGAGAGAAATCGTATTTTTGGTGTTTTAAAATATATATATATATATATATATATATATATATATATAAGTTTATAAAAGTCCAAAACTTAGTTTTTACGTATTGACCCTCATCGAGATTAATCCCGCCATTTTTTGTAGAACACATGTTTTTTTGTATTTCTAGGGCTTCCCTAACTTTTCTTTCAAATTTTTTATTTTCTACTTTCAATGTTTTTGTTTGTTCCCAAATAATTTCTTTTTTGCAAAATGTTTTATGCAGAGCTAATGCAGATTGATGCTGCTTATTTTCATCAATGCTTTTTTGGTGTTGATGCATTCGTGTGTTTACTTTCATTTTTGTTTCGCCTACATACACTTTTGAACAGTTGCATTTGATTATATATGTTCCTGGTTGACTGTTACTAGATAATGCCAAAAAAACAACAAATTATAAAAAGAATGCTGTCCTAAACTTATGCGATACCGACATTCCAGTAAGTCATAATAATTTTCTAAACCTCGGTCCACACTTTGTACCATCTTTAAAGTCGATACCATATATGGATATTATTACAGCCACGGAATCCTCTGCGTTAAAATTAGAATACAACAATAAAATTGAAAATGCCCAAGACCTAAGGAAAAATGTTTTAAGAGAACTAAAAACCGGAAAAAAATTAAATAATAATCTTACAAAAGAACAATGGAAAGCTTATAGAGAAATAAAAGAGAAAAAAAACGTTGACATATATCCATTCGACAAAGGGACAGGTTTTGTACGAATCGGACATTCAAAAGCCTTGGAAAAAATTCGCGAAAAAATAGGCCCAACAAAAATAGTAAGTGAAGACCCTACTGCAAATTACGCGGCTAAAATTCGTAGATATCTTTCAAAACTAAATAAAAGAAACTGTTTTTCAAAAGAGGAATACAAAAAAATATATCCTAGTGATCCCATCCCGCCTCATATGTATGGTGTAATCAAAGCCCACAAACCTGAAAAATTCTATCCTATGAGAATAATTTTCTCCACAATCGGCATAGCAAACTATGGAATATCTGAGTTCTTAGTTAAGATAATACAACCAGTTTTGAATGAAAACTTGACAAGATTAAAAAATTCCTTTGACTTTATTAAAAAAGCTGAATCTTGGAAAATTGACAACGATGAAGTTCAGGTATCTTTTGATGTCGTAAATCTGTATCCATCGGTTCCTTTAAAAGAAGCCACCTTTGTACTTATAGAAAAATTAAATAATAATACAACATATAAAAAATTAACAAGACTAAGTATACCTGAAATAAAACAACTTATAGAACTTTGTTTATTTCAATGTTATTTTCATTGGAACAAGAAATTCATATAATGGAAAACTTGGGTCCAATTGGACTTTCGTTCATGGTCGTTCTTGCAGAATCATTTCTACAATTCCATGAAAACAATGCAATTAAAATTGCACTAAATTTCAACCCTGCACTTAACCTCAAATTGTTCTTAAGATATGTCGATGATAGTCACGCAAGGTTTCCAGATCTCAACCAAGCAAAACATTTCCAATACATTTTAAATCAACAACATCCTTCCATCCAGTATACAATTGAAGTTGAAAACGAGTTAGGAACGCTAAATTATCTGGATATACAAATTATGAATAAAAAAACAAGAAAGTATGAATACGAAGTATATCGGAAAGATGCTATCACTAACATTCAAATTAAGCCACACTCAAATGATGATCCAAATATCTTGAACTCTATTTTTAAAGGATTTCTCTACCGAGCTTACTCAATCTGTAGTAAGTCTTACTTGCAAAATGAAATAAATTTTCTAATCGACGTGTTTATTGAAAATGGTTACGATAAAACTCAAATGATGAATATTGCGCATCAGTTTCAACACAAAAGACAAAATAAAATTACAATTCCATCTGAAATCAATAATTATCCTGTAGTTTCCTTACCATGGGTACCCGGTCTCTCGCCAAAACTTAGGAAAATATTCTGAAAAGCTGGTTACAGAGCGGTATTCAAATCAAACCCAAACTTAAGATCCCTGTTAACATATATAAATAAATCAAAATTACCTAATAACAGTCAACCAGGAACATATATAATCAAATGCAACTGTTCAAAAGTGTATGTAGGCGAAACAAATATGAAAGTAAACACACGAATGCATTAACACCAAAAAAGCATTGATGAAAATAAGCAGCATCAATCTGCATTAGCTCTGCATAAAACATTTTGCAAAAAAGAAATTATTTGGAAACAAACAAAAACATTGAAAGTAGAAAATAAAAAATTTGAAAGAAAAGTTAGGGAAGCCCTAGAAATACAAAAAAACATGTGTTCTGCAAAAAATGGGGGGATTAATCTTGATGAGGGTCAATACGTAAAAACTAAGTTTGGACGCCATTTTTTAAATTTCAGCGAAAAAGAAGCCATTCAACCGCTGACGTCAATAGCAACGTTTTAATTTAAATTATAACGGTTTACTAATTACTGTAACATTTAACAAGCTGGTATCTAAAATCCAGCGAAAATTTCTATAATAATAAAAAAATTATAAGTGTTGAAAGAAATCGTATTTTTGATGTTTTAAAATAATATATATATATATATATATATATATATATATATATATATATATATATATATATATATATATATATATATATATATATATATATATATATATATATATATATATATATATATATATATATATATATATATATATATATATATTATATATATATATATATATATATATATATATATATATATATATATATATATATATATATATATATATATATATATATATATATATATATATATATATATATATATATATATATATAAAAGGAATTCTACTAATGTTTCACCACATACTTTACTAAAGCCAACATATACTAATCTAAAGGTTTTCAAGTTTACAATTATGTTTTGAACTATTAATGATAATCTAACTAGCTGTCATGACATGTACAATACAGGTCGTGGTAAGTCTATTCCACACCCAACTATTTCTAAACTTGTTCTTAATTTATTCTCTTTAATTTATTTTAGTAAACAGTAAAAATTAAATCAATTTAAAGTTCTGGTAGTGGGTAAAATGGGAACATTTTTGCGAACCATAGATCTATTGGTTGTTAAATTATTATTAATTTAAAAGAAAAGATTAAATAAAATATATTGAATACCATTATATTTAATTTAAAAAATTGATGAGCCAATGTTTTTAAAGTATCATAACTGTTGCAATCATTAAAATGTTTTGGTTCGCAAAAAAGTTTGCAGTTCGCTTTTACTGACTACCTAAAGTTCTAGATTTTTGGTTAACAATTAATTTATTATATTTTAGAACTTATATAGTTTTTTTACTTATTTACATTATTACTTATTTACTTCAATATTACTTATTACATTATTACTTATTTACTTCAATATTTTTTACATAATAAAAGTATCTTTAGCATATAAGACATTAGCATAACATTTCTTCAGGTTTGGAAACTTATGATATGATATAACTTAGGCTATGGTAATTAGCGTAACATTTCTTCAGGTTTGGAAACTTATGAATTATTTGGAAATTTCAGGTTTATAAACTTATTCTCTCATTAAGATTTATTTAAAATCAAATTTGGACGTTAAAAAAATGGGTCAAAGAGACCTAGTTATTTCAAATAAGTTAGTTTTACCTGTTTGATATTTTTTATAACCCTTTCTGTGAAAACAACTCTTAACAAATTCATACAATTAGGCTGTTTTTACTGCCAAATTAGGTATATAAATTGTTAAACCTGTTGTTTGTGCAATCGAAACTTAATGCAAATGGAAACCGTCTAGATCGTACAAAAGGTGATAAAAATATAAATGATTTCCGTTTATACATAAAAAGATAACGGAAATATAAAAAAACAAAGCAAAAATAGCCAATATATCCATTCAAAACAATTCCAAAGATAAAAAATATAGAAATTTATTTGGGAAACAAACAATTTCTTAGTATAAAATAAAAATATAAACTTTCAACCTAAAAATTAATATAATTCAACCTAAATATGTAACAAAATTATTATTGAATACACTTAATACACGTTAATTGTTATGTATTCTATTTATTTATGTGAAAACTCAAAAATGTGACTAAACAGATGACAAATAAAAAACTTACTTTGTTTAAAAAAAACTACAAAAATGTTTTATATTCAACATAAAAAAAATCAAAAACTTTTAAGTTTTTGTTTATTATTATTTATTATTTTTATTTATTATTATTATTTATATATTTTTATATATATACCAATTTATTATTATTATTATTAAACTTTTAAATTGAAACATTCTTTCATTATTATATATCTTTTAGTAAATTGTATGAAGATTATTAAGCTTCCTTTTAGCTTTTTGAATACAATCAACATTCAGAACATTTCTTAATTTCTTCTATGTAGGAACTTTTAAAATCAGTCATAGGTGAAGGAATTCAATCTAAAAATGTAACAAAATTATTATTGAATACACTTAATACACGTTAATTTGTTATGTATTCTATTTATTTATTTGAAAACTCAAAAATGTGACTAAACAGATAACAAATAAAAAACTTACTTTGTGAAATTGTTCATCTTTTGTAAAAGTTTCAAGATTTATTGTTGCAAGTTTGGATTAACAACTCTTTTCAAAAAAGTAAGGCTAAAAATAAGTGATCACAATAAGATAAACCTTTGTTTTTATTTGAAAACTGAATTCTTAGCTTTTAGTGAATGATTATATGTAGTCAGTTTCAGTAATGAAACTACCCAATAATCATTTTAAACTAAAGACCCGTACATGAAAGTAAACCAAGTCATCTATCAACACAAAACAACATGACAATAACATCACAAAATTAACAAATAACATAACATATTACAGTAAACTCTAA